TGTGTGTGTGTGTGTGTGTGTGTGTGTGTGTGTGTGTGTGTGTGTGTGTGTGTGTGCTCTACTAAAAATGAACAAGAGGTACCTGTGGAATATATTTGATTTACGCCAGGATAAATTTAAAGTTTAAATTATTTACAGGAATACTCGTAATGTCGCATAATGAAAAAAATTGCTTCGACCGTTCCATCAGTAATTATAATACTTTAATCCTCATTTATTTAATTTTAGGCACTTTCTATAAAACCACAATTGTAATATAACTCTATTATTTTGATAAAAAATATTTTAATTAAAATTAAATAGCATAAAATACAATATAATATAACTAAAAGAATTTCTTTTAAATATTACTCTTGATTAATCAAATTACATATTACACTTGAATAGGATCATATTTACTTTATGTTTTTATGTGAATTTCATCACCCTTACAATTGATAAGGAATGTATTGGGTCGTCCAGAAAGTCCGTGCATATTTTCCGCACGGATTTTCCGGACAACCTTGGGTTATCCGGAAAGGTCTGTGCGGAAAATACGCACGAACTTTCCGGACGACCCCATATTAACACGTTACTGGAGTCTTTCAATACATATCTCCGCTTACAATTTACAATTCAAGTAGGGGAGGAGGAGAGGGCATGTCAATAATTAAATAAGGCATGAATTTAATTCATAATTATTGGTATAAAAAATTTATTTATTTTAAACATAACAAAAAGAGTTAGAGTTTTATATTTCTGTTACACTTAAACTTTACTCTATTTAATCAGATTTTGTTGTCTCTTTTGTTACTATCTTTTTTCCATTCTCTTTGTTGGAATTCTTTTATTTGTTTTTCTCCTTTTTTTGGTCCTTTTCCTTTTCCTTTTTTTCCTGCACCTCATTATTATTGCTATCTATATTTGGTGGATTCATACTGTATAGTCACTGGAATTATAAGTGTTTGTATGATTCTGTGAGAATTTATATATATTACGTATGTAGTCTGTAGTTTGAAATGCGCGCCGAAATGAAATGCGCGCTTTACTAAACTACAAATAGCATTAGATTTCATTTTAAAAAAATGTTATGCTCAGTTGAGATTAAATGTGTCCGCGAGTGTTTGTTTCATATTATCATTATAACGATACTTATTGCGTAAATATATTATAAAAATATTTAAATGTTTTAAAATCTAACATTTCAGATCCAGATAGATCGTTTAAGGCATTGATTGATAAATTGCACTCTCACATATATAGTTCTATAAGATATTATTATATAATGAAAAATAAAACTGAAGGGAAGTATGAAAAATATTTAAGACTAACTGTAACTGAGAATTAACTTACCGAATTGCGATGAGACTGGTGACTCTCGGTTCGGCAAAGATTCAATAATCCAGAACTGTGTCGGACGATAGATTGGCTGAAGAGCATTTACCGATTCCTTATATATATAGTATTTTTTTGTACACGCCTATAAGTGTTAACATAACTTTTTCTACCATACAAAATATCTACACAAAGTATGAATCAATAACTATCAGAGGGCGTATACAAAAAGAATAGCAACCTAGAAAGTCCACATACAAATGCCATTATAGTCAGACCTTGTACTGAAGGCTTTCTTAAAATTATCTTTAGATACTTAACATTGAAATAATTTGTAGAATATTTGAAGATAAATTTAAGAAAGCTTTAAAATAAGGCCTGATGAATACGGGTGAAAGACTCAAAAATTATGGAGGGGATGTATTTAAGGCGTACACATATGTATTTATCTTGCTTTGTGTATTCTTTTCACAGAATAATTATCTTGGATGGACTCTCGTCCATTAAGGGTCCCGTCCCATTTATTTTGTTATTTATCAAATTAAAAAGAATGAAATGTACGTGAGCGTTGCGAATTAAAAGTAAAATGCATCTATT